CGTCCGTTCCGTCGTAGAGAGAGAGAGAGAGAGAGAGAGAGAGGGTAAGACGTTGATTGTTGAGTGAAAAGACCTATGGGCTGAGAAATAGCCACTGTATAGAGAGAGGGAGGGGCGGGGATGATAAACGGTGGTGGCACCGCCGCAGGGGCAAGGTGGCGCTGCGACGGAGGTACACAAACCTTTGGGTTTAGACGGAGACTGAGGTTTTTGTATTTTCCTTTTAGCAATTTTTTTTTTTTCCCTCCCTCTCTCTTCTCTCTTCCTCGTGGAAGAAAGGTTCTGCAACGCTAAAATACTCGCGGGTTTAGGTTAGGTCTAAGTGCGGCACAACCGGGCTCACAGAAGAAAAATCAAAACAAAAAGAAATGGAAAATTGTTTCATGCGGGCTCGGACCGCATTCCTGTAATACGTCATCCGGAGGTATATCCATCTAAAAACAAGTGTAACTAACTGTTCAAATATGTTTTAAATATAATTATTATTTTTAATTTTTAAAAAAGATTTTTTTTATAGTCATGATCACCGTATTAAAATTTGAGTGATAATACTATAAGACCTTCTCACACTCATATAAGTAGAACCTCAATGGATTACGTTTAAATTTCACACTGATATTTAGAAAAGTTATCAATAAACCCATTCACCCAAATCCCACACCCATATAATAACCTTTCTAAATATCTATTTCAAAATTTAATGGTGATCCTTTGGGGTCCTACTCATGAGAGGGTTTCATAGTGTCATTACTCTTAAAAATTATATATTCTCTAAAAATTAAGATCAAATTATATTTGAAAAATATATTTATTGTCGGGCCCGTTTCTGTAATATTCGGATTGGCCGCATAGAAACCGTGTCCAAAAGAAATTTATCAAAAATTATATCTAATTATTTAATAAAAAATGACCTTTAACTATTTAATATTTGGACGTGGTTTCTATGAGTCCATGTAGAAATGTGTCGCCTCTTAAATTTTTATTTTGGAGATGAATTGTTGGACTTGATTTTTAAGGACATGCATTCTCTAACATGGAGATCATAAATATAAATAAAAAATTTTAAAAAATTAAAAATATAATTCTATTAAAAAGACATTTGGACTATTAGTTTCAATTGTTATTAGATGGACTACCTATTTGCATCCATCTTTAAGATACATGCTTTAAACCTTGGGACCGTATATTGTATAATTGCGATCCAGCCTACATGAACAGTTTGCTTTAATATTCTATCGATTTTATATTGAAAAAAGTTTATATAAGGGCAAAGCTCTAGACAATCAAATTAAGGTGCACCTCAAAAATTCACTAGAAGATGTTTGTTTCAATGCCCAAAAATCCTCAAATTGATCATCTCTACCTCAAGGTGTATGGACATTAAAAAAAAAAAAGATTTCAAATATTGGAAATAGTGCATCTTATAATGCATTTTTTGACCATCAATTTTCAAGTGTTCGTAGATCTTGTCGATCTACACTATTGTTTGAGCTTTAAATTTTATAATTGGAGATGAAAATAAATTTTCAAGTCATCACAAACATGTCTAGTATTGAAACAATTTTTTTCGATACCATTTAAAGCCACACCTAACTTTGGTGGTTTACAACCTTGCCCTGTACAAACCACGCCCTTTTGTATTTAATTTAAAATAATAAAAATATTTTGATAGGGCTTGAGCCCTATCAAAATAAGGAAAGCCTCACCTCATAAATTACCTACAATAGCTGTTCTGGCATTAAAAAACCTTCAAATCAACCATCTCGGCCTTAAACATTATGTATGTGAAAAAACTTAAGATTTCAAACCCTAAAAATATCTAGACTGCCTATTTTACCTTCAAAGTAAGTGTTCATGGATCTACAAGATCTATGTAATTTTTTAGCTTCAAATTTCATAGTTGGTATTGAAAATTGTTTTTAGAGCCATCATTGGGATTTCTAATGCACAAGGTGCTTTTTAGACGAAGATTCCAAGTTAGGCTTTACTTTGTTTCTATAAAGCCTAGGCCTTATAAGAACCACATCCTTAAAATAATTTATCAAAATAAGTAGGAAATTTAGATGGGTGGGGTTTCCATAAGGTTACGACCTTAAACAATCAAAGTAAGGTGGTCCTACAAACTTTGCTAAACGATTCTATTTTGGTGTGGAAAATTTTTAAGATGGTTTGGGAATCTATTTTCATCTCTAGTTATAAAATTTTAAACTCTAAAAATAGTTTAAATCAAGCAAATCTATAAACACATGAAAATCTTGAAAATGGATTGTCCAAATAATGTGTTATAAGATGTATTATTTTTTGGACTTGAGATCTTCTTCTTTTCTCTATATCCATATCTCTATGTCGAGATGAACAATTAGATGGTTTTCCAACATCAAAATAGTATTTTTTTCCAAAGATTTTTTAGGTGCATTTTAATTCTACAATTTAATGTGTCAACCTAATAATAAATTTTTTCCAATTTGGATTAACTATTTAAGATTTGATGTAGTTTTCTGCTTGCCCTCATAAAATTTCCAATGTAAAAACTAAGTTGGATGATTGAGGTGTCATGCGAGCATTGTGTGCTTGCCCACATAGAACAATTCAGTTTTCATGAAAATAAAAATAAAAATGAATGAGTTCAGAGATCAATACCCTCATAAAATTCTAATGTAAAAACTAAGTTCGAAGGTGGAAGTGTCATGCGAGCATCGTGTGCTTGCCCACATAGAACAATTTAGTTTTCATGAAAATAAAAATAAAAATGAATGAGTTCAGAGAGCAATACCCTTTTAAAGAAAATGTGTTTAAAAAATATTTGCAAAAATAAGGGCCCAATTTTTAATTTATTTCTTATCCTTTTCTACTCCACTTAAACGTTGTTTAAAAAATAAATAAATAAATTTAGATGGAAAAATAAAGAGCCACGGAAAGAGAGGGACAAGTGATCGTTGAAAGGTAATATTTAGCCTTTCTCTCTACAATTGTTTCTCAATGCCTTTTTAAGTTGTTAGATATAGGAAAGTGTTTGGAGTGGCTTAAGCACCTTGCACGAGCTCCTTCTTTCTATCTAAAAACATTATTTCTCTCTCTTATGCTTCATTGTGAGCTGGGTACGAAAACATGCTTCTCATCTCTAGAAGAGCCCTCCAGTATCATATGATAAGATTAGAGCAATTTGTGGCCTCTCATAGCACATTTTATCTCTAGATTATTTGTTAATTATTATTTTGCAACGAGCATATCTTTCCTCTCCTACAATATACTCATGGGAAGCACACTTCTAATGATTTTCTCTATCTAGAAAGGCAATAGAACTGGCCTTGCAAGTCTCTGCAATTTTAGTTAGTTTGTTCCATGATTTTATATATATTTTGTATCCAAAACAGTATTTAGAAGTTTGGGAAAGGTTGCATGAGGAAGGGGTGAATTATAGGGCATTACTGTGAGTTTGTTAGAGTGATTTGTATTGTGTTCTTATGAGTATATGCTTGATGGAAATTGCATTTCTTGGATGAGATTTAAAATAGTTGCAATCGATTTTGGGTTTTGATTATTTTGTGCATGATAAAATTAGTGATCTTTTTACATCGTTTTTAGAATCTTAAAAGAATTTACAACAAACTATTTGTGATTGTTTTTTATAGAGCAAGAAAGGGCCGCATACTATATTTTGTTGATTTTCTGGTTGAGTTCAAACCCAATGTGCATGTTGTTGTAGCTCTATTTACTTTTGAAAACCAAAAAAATCTGTTGTATTTAGGACAACAATTGGTATCAGAGCTTAGGGATTTTCAATTAGTATAAAAAATGGCTAATCCTGGAGTTGTATTGATTGATTAAGTAAATATTGATAAGCTTGATGGCTATAATTTCTCACTTTGGGAGAGTAAAGTATCTTATTTACTGCACACCATGGATTTGTCATATGTAATTGAAGAATAAATCCTACCTGAACCTGATGATGATTCACACTTAGAGAGATACAAAGATACATTAAATGAAAAATGATAATTTCACATGTAGCCGTGCTATTTTGAATGGTCTTAATGATAGATTACATAAGGTCTTTGAAACTTACACTAATGCCAAAGATTTATGGGAAGCTATAGAGAAAAGGCACACCGAACAAAACGTGAACACTACAAGAGATATAACCAACACAAAATGAGAGAGAACCAATAACGTTGTAACTTTTTGATGGCATCATTGTAATGGCTAATCAACTTGCTGATTATGGAGAACTAATATTCGAGCACCATCAAATCATAAAGATTATAGAAAACCTCCGTAATTCATGAAAAAATATTAAGAAAAAACTTGTACCACAATGGTACCATCCACACCCTTGATGATTTAAGAGGGCATCTTAGGATAAAAAATAATGATATGGCCAAAGAGGAAAATGAGATAGCTCAACAACAAGCTTATTTAACTACTAAAAAATGGTCAACTAGACTTAATAATAAGAAGAGAACGGAGAAGAAAGAAAGCAAGGAAGAAACAAAGAAATAATGAATTTCTTTTAAAACATTGAGAAGGTATTCTAATTGTTACAAACTTTGTGACATTGCCAAATTTTGTAGGGCCTCACCAAAGAAGTTAGAGAGAGGATAACCTAGATACTCAAAGGATGTTGCTTTAGTGGTAGAATAGTTTGTTACAGCCAACCCATTTGATGATTGGTGGATTGACTCCGGTGCGACAAGGCATATCGCTATAGGCAAAGAACACGTAATAGAGTTTAGAGAGAAAAAAATGGGTGATTGGAAGCTTTATATGTGAAACTCCTATTGGATCCACATACTTAGTAGGTGACCGTGAAGCTTCATCTTCCTAGTGGGGACATTCTTATCCTCAATGGTGTCCTTTATGCCCCCGACATGAACGTAACCTAATTTCTTTGTCTAAGGTAGATAAGAATGGAGTTGAAGTAAATGTAAAATGGGAAAAGTTACTTTTGTTAAGGATGGTGTAGAGGTGGCTAAGGTCTCTCTTTATGAAGTTTGTACAAACTTGAGATTAATTAAATGAAAGCATATTTATCTCATATTGTTTGTTCTTCTTACCAGGAAAGCTTTAATGTATAGCGTAGAAAATAAGGGCACATTGACTATGAAAAGTTATTTATGATTTGTACAATGTATGCTTAATGTGCAAAAATGATGGGGAATTGGGTCCTCATCTTTTTATTCAGTGTGCGTTGGTATCTAGAGTTTGGGGCTGGTGTTTTTGTCAATTTGGAGTTGTGTGGGTTGTGTCATCTTTTTTTGTTTGCATTTTTTCTCATTTTTCAGGGG